TGGTTATGAATCCCTGTTATAAAACATGAAGGTTTTGCTCGAAGTGGCAGGAACAAAGGAGCCAGCCTATCATTCTCCTCACTATAATCTCACTTCCCAGCTTCTGTGCTCTGATCCTTCCCAAGGATTCTCTGTAGAACCCAGATGGGCCCAGACAGAGTAATCTACTGAACTGTGAACACTACAGATTCAAGTTTGTGTTCTACATACTTACCATTCCTAACAGAGTGCTTTGCACCTAACAAATTGTATGAGAACTCAGAATTCATTGTTTCAACATTTAACAGATATTTAAATACATTTTGGCATGAGAAGGTATATCTTTACAATTTTATTGTTATAAGTTGCTTTAATTGTATTGTTAGTAAACCTCTCAGCTTATACAAGTCTTTAAAAAGTTTATGTATTATAATTTTAAAATAATTTATCATCTCTTACCTACCTTCACTCCATCTCAGTCCAATGTGTATTTCATGTATTCTTCTCAAAGCTCATTAATCAAATTATATTAGGGATTTTATTAATTTTTAAGTATAACATCAAAAGAATGTCTCTTAATAGAATATTTACTGGTATTTAGTCAATTACAAGTGGTGACTATTTGTTATGGGGAAACCCAGAAGGTAAACTCTGTATCTTTTCTTTTAAAAGCAAATCTTTACATTACTTATGAGAAAAGATTTTTTTTAGAGTCTTACAAAATAGTATTATGAGAGTTAGCTGTTACCACAGGAGTGACTACAATTATCCAGAGAGAAAGATGGATGGAGCTGCGAGGAGTGTGGCTCTTTAAAACACAAATACAATAAAAACAAATATAAAAAGAAATCTAGGAACACACTGTCAGATCAGTGATAACAAAATTAGTGGAATACCGACCTCTGTAAATTCCCTTCTTCGTAAAAGCAGTGAGAAAACTGTCAAAAAAAGTGACAACTTGTTCAGAACTCTGGTAATTAATCAGAGATGTGCAGTAATCCACGAATTAGTTTAATCAAGAAAAACATCTGAATCTTGGTAATAACAGTGGGATTTCTGGTGTTATAACTTGCCCTATTCCCATCTCCCTGTCTCGAGCTCCACGGTAGCATTGTAAGCCAATAGCCTTCAATAACAGTAAAAATAGCAGCCTGGCAGCTACCAGAGGGGACAGAATGGAGTTTGAATTCCTTTAAAACCATATTCTTGGAAAATTGTCATTATTTAACCTGTCTGGAGGTTTTCTGGGATACCCCACTCACAAGACTTTTATTTGACCTAACTTGGAGCTTACCCTTTCCTGGAGATGTTTGTCAAATTTTTAACGTCATGAGTACCTGAGGCAGTAGAGAACAGTGGGTGCAGACTAACCATGAATCTTAAAAGAAAAAGCAGCAGGGCTTCCCTGGTGGCGCAGTGGTTGAGAGTCCGCCTGCCGATGCAGGGGACACGGGTTCGTGCCCCGGTCCAGGAAGATCCCACATGCCGCGGAGCGGCTGGGCCTGAGAGCCATGGCTCCTGAGCCTGTGCGTCCGGAGCCTGTGCTCCGTAGCAGGAGAGGCCGCAACAGAGAGAGGCCCGCGTACTGCAAAAAAAAAAAAAAAAGAAAAAGAAAAAGCAGCAGAATGATATGTTCATAGGGGTTTAGAAAAGCTCCACATATTCTTGGGCATCTAGAAGTCCACACGTTATGTACAAGGCTGTGAGCATTCCGTATGGTGGGCTGAACTGCATCCTTCCAAAATTTCACATGTTTAAGTTCTAACTCCCAATATCTCAGAACATGACTTTATTTGTAGATAATTAAGGTATAATGGAGTCAAATTGGTGGACCCTAATCTGATATGACTGGTGTCCTTCTAGGAAGAGATTAAGACATAGACACACAAAGAGGAAGGACCATGTGAAGACACAGAGAGAAGACGGCCACCTACAAGCAAGGATGGAGGCCCTCAGAGGAAACTAGCCCTGCCAACAACTTGGATTCCTAGCCTCCAGAATTGTGAGAAAATTAATTTCTGTTGTTTAAACCACCCAGTCAGTGGTAATTTGTTAAGAGAGTCCTGGCAAATGAATACACCCAGGGCTGTATGCATGCTCAGGAAGAACCCAGAGAGACCCTGAATTCTCAACTCTGGAGGCCTTTGGGCCCTGTGTAAATAGGAGGTAAAGGCTAAGGCAGATTTGTCAACTGCCTGACTCAAAGTTGAAGCAAAACCCCATGAACTCAGGACCCCCAGCAAATACTATGAGATTTATTGGTCCTGGGAATTTTAAAAAATCCCTGTCCAATTATTAGCTGATCTCTAAGCTAAGTGAAAAGATATCGCATAGTCATATACGATAAATAATATAGACTTTACAGAATTTGTTCAGAAAAGTCAATTACTAGGCAAAGACCGTAAATCAGCTATTTTAAAAACATTCAAAGAGCTAAAAGAAACCATGTCCAAAGAACTGGAGAGAAAGTATGACAATAATGTCTCACCAAATACAAAATACCAACAGAGAGATAGAGATTACAGAAAGAACAGCAGAGAAATTTTGGATTTGAACGGTACAGTAACTAAAATGAAAAATTCACAGGAAGGCTTCTTGTAGTTTCCTCTGACTGCTGTAACAATTTACTACAAACTGGGTGGCATAAAACTGCAGAAATTTATTTTCTCAGAGTTCTGGATGCCAGAAGTCTGAAATCAGTTCACTGGGCCCAAAACAAGATGTGAGGAGGACCATGCTCCCTCAGAGGTTCTAGGGGAGACTCAGTCCCTTCCTATTCCAGCCTCTGTTGACCGCCGGCATTCTTGGCTACGGCCACATCACTCTAATCTCTGCTTCTCGGCCACACTGCCTTCCCTCTTCTGCCTGCCATCAAATATACCTCTGCATCTCTCTTCTAAGGATACATGTCACTGCATATAGGGCTGACATGGATGACCTATGATAATCTCCCCCATTCAGTGCAAAATGTGAGGGAATGCCAATTCAGCATATATAGTTAACTATAATTTTTTTAAAAAAGTAGAGAGACACAGTATTACTGGTTCAGAGCCAGGTAAGTTGGTTTATTTGTTCGTGAAAGAATGTACTATTTTCTGACAACTGAAAGGAAGGGTTTTGCAAAGGAAATACAGGGAATAGTTTAGAAGCAGTAATATGTAGCTAGGAGAGCTCTGACAATGCCTTCTTCTGCCTGCTGTTCTTGGGCCATGGAAAGTGGACAAATGCTACTTAAGAGGGCAGGTAAAAGTTACTTAAAACCAGATGGTAGAAGAAAGTTCTGGAGTTACTGAGAGGAGAGGAGTGTTGTTTTTCCTTTCATGATGATGATGATGATGACATTAGAATAAACTTTCCAGGGATCAGCATGGCAAGGAGTTCAACTGACCAGTAATAATCAGAGATAAAGGCTTACAAAGTAATATGGAACCAGAAGAATAGGGAGAGAAGAAGCTTCTGTTTAGAGAGAAAGAAAGAAAGACAGAATCAAAGTTATTGAGAAGATAAGTGATTCAGAATGTCCAGAACTAGATATATCCTCTAGAACAGGGCAGGAGTTAATAGGTGCTGTTAACTGTGATACTATACTTTCAGAAATATTGTTCTCACATTACCATTGATATTGGATTTTACCGTTGTGATTATGAATTACTGAATATATGTGTGTGGTAGACGATTTAATGGTGATGGCTCTAAGGTTTATTTTCCCTTCTTATTAAACATTCTGGCAGGAGGAATTTAATAACTTGATACTGCTGAGAGTGACCACAAAGGTTCAGGGTTTGGCGATGCTCTAAGTTGAGTGACAGAGCTGGGAGGACGTGATGACTGACAATCGCCAGGAAGTAACATCAGGTTGAATATAAATATTTCAAACAGATGTGTGTTCAGAAAGCCTGCTTCACTTTTCTGAGCAAACTCTGTGGATAAAAAGAATCATTTGATATTAGCAAGTAGGCCTAGACCTTCTGGGACCAACCTAGGTAAATGAGGAGCTGGTCGGGGGTTCAGTGATTTGTGGGCTTCTAGGATGAGCAGCTGCAGAAAAAGGAAAATGTTTGAATGAAAAAAATACAATAACCCTTTAACTTTCCTGGACACAGGTTCTCATTGCATAATAGCCGACTGCACAGACCACATTTATGGTAATTTCTCAAACTCCATGCACAAATTTTAGGTCTGAACAAAATGTACTGCGTATGAATGACACCAAGTGAAAGCAGAATGAATTGAACTGAGTATGTTACTAATATAGGAAGCACTCACTCTAATTGAAGAAAAGAACATTGCTGTTTAATCTATAGGACCGAAGTTTTATTACTGTTGAGAACAATTCTTATAACTTGAAAGGTGATGTTCTTTTCCTCTATAAAAGCAATAAGAATTGTATTTCACAGCTGAACTTTCATATTTTCTTATGTCTGAACAACTTAGGATAATTTTAGCTAAAAATTGCAATCAGAAATCAAATTTGGATAAATACAAATTTTGGAAGCCTAATAATTTGGAGTGGCTTTGTTTCCAGACTTAACTCAAATATTGTCACTACTGAATACATGTGAAAAATTATAAATTCTGACTGTAAATCTATAAATACCTATCTGTTACTATGATAATATTCACTATACAGTATATAAACCTTTTTTTGTTGTTTTATTGTTTTCAAACTGTATTTTTTTTTGTGTGTGTGGTACACGGGCCTCTCACTGTTGTGGCCTCTCCCGTTGCGGAGCACAGGCTCCGGACGCGCAGGCTTAGTGGCCATGGCTCACGGGCCCAGCCGCTCTGCGGCATGTGGGATCTTCCCGGACCGGGGCACGAACCCGTGTCCCCTGCATTGGCAGGCGGACTCTCAACCACTGTGCCACCAGGGAAGCCCCAAACTGTATTTTTTTGTTTTATTGAACATAAAGTTGTTTTTTTTTTTTTTGCTTAGCATTTTTATTTTCTATTTCTAGGTAACAACTGTTAGGAAGACTTTTTCTTTGGGTAAAATCTGTATTATTTTTTCTCATTTGCAGCTTGGTTGCAACAAAGGAAACAGATAGTGCAAGGTCTCGAAGTGCCCCAATGTCACCTTCTGACTTTCTGGATAAATTAATGGGAAGGACATCGGGGTATGATGCAAGAATCAGACCCAATTTTAAAGGTAATTGTTTTACTTACTACAATATATGACATGTGTTTTATTTTTTATTATGTTTTAACATCTTTATTGGAGTATGATTGCTTTACAGTAGTGTGCTAGTTTCTGCCCTGTAACAGAGTTAATCAGCTATACATATACATATATCCCCATATCTCCTCCCTCTTGCATCTCCCTCCCTCCCACCCTCCCTATCCCACCCCTCTAGGTGGTCATAAAGCACCGAGCTGATCTCCCTGTGCTATGCGGCTGCTTCCCACTAGCTATCTGTTTTACATTTGGTAGTGTATATAAGTTCATGCCACTCTCTCACTTCACCCCAGCTTACCTTTCCCCCTCCCCATGTCCTCAAGTCCATTCTCTACATCTGCATCTTTATTCCTGTCCTGCCCCTAGGTTTGTCAGAACCTTTTTATTTTTTTAGATTCCATATATATGTGTTAGCATATGGTATTTGCTTTTCTCTTTCTGACTTACTTTACTCTGTATGACAGATGATTAAACAAGATAAATTTTCAAATTGATTTCCCCCCAAATTCTAAAGCTTATTTCCAATAATCCTCCAAGCACTATATTGGTCAAAGATATGTCTTGAAAGAAGAAATATATTCTCATATTAATAGCTCTCACAATTAGTCTTCTTTGGACCATACAACATTACATTAGTTTGTGTACAATCTCATGATTTGATATGTTTATACATTATGAGATGATGATCGCAATGAGTTTAGGTACCATCTGTCACCATACAAAGTTGTTACAACATTGTTGACTATATTCCCTATGCTGTACATTACAGCACCATTGACTTATTTATTTTACAGCTGGAAGTTCATAACTTTTAATCTCCTTCACCTATTTCGATCATCACCCTACCACCTTCCCCTCTATTCCCTTGTCTATTTTCTTTCTCTTTTAAAAAATGTGCCTACTGAATCAAATGAACTAATTTAAAGTGGGTATTATATATGCTTTCCCTTCCAACTTGTCAAAAGCCAGGAATTAATACTGTGAGACTTTAGGGGCATGTCTATCAATAATGTGATATTCCACTAGTCTAAGTTTTTTTGAAAAAAATAAAGGAGCAAAATTAACTATATATTTTTTAAAAAAGAATAGGAACAGAAATTTGCCAAACAGATGTGACAATATGTTACAATAACTTAAATGATTTAGTATTCACTTCTTCATGGATTAAAAAAATATTATTATTATTTTTTTTTTTTTTTTGCTGTGCTGCGCAGCATGCAGGGCCTTAGTTCCCCGACCAGGGATGGAACCCATGTCCCTGCAGTGGAAGCACGGAGTCCTGACCACTGGACATGGATTAAAATCTTAATGAAAAAAAAAAAAAACCTAGAAAATACCTAGATAACTGATCAGACAATAGGAAAATGTTTTTAAAATATAAAATTATTGAGAAAAATCTGTATGTTTGACCTTTCAGGAATTTATAAATTTCATACGAGGAAAAAAAAAATCTTAGTAGAGACATTCGCAGACAATTTGCAGAAGATAAATTAGAATATTCAACCTAATTAACAATCAATGAAGTGCAAATTATAATAATGTGACAGCATTTTCGCCTTTCAAATTATCAACATTTAACAATAATATTATTGATAATTATTTCAGTCTCAAACACATTATTATAAAATTTATTTCTGGAATACTGATTTTAAATTTGTGATTGTTTTCACAAGTACATTTACATTAAAACAAAATTTACCTTCCAGGCCATAGAAAAGAACAATTATTAAAAAACTATAAAATGACTTTATTAAAATGTAACTTTGGGGCTTCCCTGGTGGTGCAGTGGTTGAGAGTCCGCCTGCCGATGCAGGGGACACGGGTTCGTGCCTCGGTCCGGGAAGATCCCACATGCCGCAGAGCGGCTGGGCCCGTGAGCCATGGCCGCTGAGCCTGCGCGTCTGGAGCCTGTGCTCCGCAACGGGAGAGGCCACAACAGTGAGAGGCCCGCATACCGCAAAAAAAAAAAAAAAAAAAAAAGTAACTTTGTATTTGCTCTTTTATATACTGCTAAGTTTGAAAAACTCTAGATGTAGACATTTTTCTTTAAACAAAATTATGATACTTATTTGTACTATTTTGTATCATTTCTCTAACATAAGTACACTTTTTAAAAATCCTATTTGTTTGAGAGAAAACACTGCAGTACCAGGCATAAGCCACACAAACTGCAGGACGGTTGTGTTGCACATTGCCAGGCGGGTGTTATTTTGTATGTTTATCTGTTTGTTGTTTTATGATAATAGTAAAAATCGTGTACCTGAATTGGGTAAAAATTAAATTGTCCAAAAATATTAGTGATGAATAGCCTCAACAGACCTTCGGCACAATTCTACTTCTTTGAGGCAAACACTGCAAAAGGAAAATTGGTCACTTCCAGTGAGCATCTGTTTAATCTCTTTGATGGCTTTCCAGGCCTTTTACAAAGAAGGTGCTATGAAAGTTCTTTGCACTAACTAGACTGCTAATTGGACGCCTCCATTCTTGCATTCTACCTCTTCTGTTTTTCTTTTCTGCCCAATAGTTTCTCTTTTTTTCCTGCAGGAATAATTATGTTTATTCATCTTGTTCACTCTCTTGAAGCCATTAGTTTTCTTGCATGTGATGGAAATGCTTTGTCATTGAGGAAGGGCTGAGTTGATTTGCCCAGGTGCTGATACATGTTTTGTCTGCTGTGTATGGAGAGAGATAGTTTTCTGCTGTTTCTCTCTCTGGGAAAGGAAATCTGACAGAGATGATACTGCCCTGGGCACAGCTTTGCTTTAGGTGAGTGTTGAGTGGCGAGGCTTTGGTCTGGGGTTCTCCAAATGCCAGAATAGCGATGACTTTCGTTTTGAGGTACTGGCAGGAACCCTGTTTTCCCCAGTTACTTTTTTTTTTTTTTTTGCAAAGAGAAGTTGAATAAATTCTGGGAATCTAATGTATAGCCTTGAGATTATAGTTAACAGTACTCTATTATAGACTTAAAAGTTCTCACCACAAAAAAGAAACAGTAATTATGTGATGATGGAGGTGTTAGCTAATGCTAAAGTCATCATCTTATTGCAGTGTCAAATCAACACGTTGTACATCTTGAACTTACACAATGTTGTATGCCTTTTATATCTCAATAAAGCTGGAAAAAGAAAACATTTAAAAAGTCAGCATTGCTTACAGAATCATATTATTTCCAATCACCTTAATAAGCTATGTTTGCAAAAGGAAAAAAAAAGTTATGTGCATCCTTCAAACCCATGGAAATTCCAGGCCATCCCGGCTCTAGGGGACTATGAATAAGGGAGCAGGGAGCTTCCTGAGACAGGCGTCTATGGCCTCCCCTGCTGCCCAACCTAACTACCCACCTCCTTTCCTGTGGATGATGACCCTGAACTTTGTGCCTCTTAGCACTTAGCTTCCTTCTCCATGCAGTTCTAATCATCATTTATTTTAGACTTTTCTCTGTTTTGTCTGTCAACCATTTTCTTCTGCCTTCTATATTTTATGTGATTAAACCAATTCTGACTTCCCTCTCATTCTCTTTGGTGTGATATATCTAGTCTCATTTTTATTCAATAATATCATTTTTATGCATTTGGAGAGAAGAAAACTATGCTCGATCCTCCATCCTGAAATAGAAGTTTCCAGGAATCATTGGAAACTGGAAACCAGTTTAACAGACAAAAAGCAATTGCATAGAAAATAAAAGTACATCCATAGACAATAAAATATTATTTCACTAGACTATCTTACCAGCTTTTTCTAGATTTTGTTTCTTTCCTTTGACTCTATTGTTTAGGCCCTCAGTTGGTCTTTGATAACCTTAAAACTAATTTGGATTCAGGCAGAAAGTACTCTGTCAGCAATCACCTGTTTGTGTATTCCTCCTATATATTTATTGTATTTTCGTTAGGTTTTTTCATTCTGTCTCCAATGACCATTCTCTTTATCTAGAAATAACATTGTTCGCCTTCACTATGTCTCTGTGGTTTCTGTCTTTTCATCTGTAATATTTCTCTATATTAATCCTTTTCTCCCACATCACAAGTGCAATTTTCATACAGTCTCTTCTGCTATAACTCATTCTATCCCCAGAATGGAATGTGTACCTATTACTCATTTCTGCACATATTTTTTTTCAGGGAAAGTGTTAGCATCTTCTTTATCCATTTTAATTATTCCTATCCATCCAGACACAATGCTTCTTGAATAAAATTCACAGTTATTTTTTGAAAAAACTGTATTTTCTATTTTCATGTAATACAAGGTCATTTTAACAAGAAAAATCTCTTAAAAATAAGCCTTTCTCGAAATTGAGTTATTTGTAGTGAGGTGGATGGACCTAGAGTCTGTCATACAGAGTGAAGTAAGTCAGAAAGAGGAAAACAAATGCCATATGCTAACACATATATATGGAATCAAAAAAAAAAAATGGTCATGAAGAACCTAGGGGCAAGATGGGAATAAAGATGCAGACCTACTGGAGAACAGACTTGAGGATATGGGGAGGGGGAAGGGTAAGCTGGGACAAAGTGAGAGAGTGGCATGGACATACATACACTACCAAAAATAAAATAGATAGCTAGTGGGAAGCAGCCGCATAGCACAGGGAGATCAACTCGGTGCTTTGTGACCACCTAGAGGGGTAGGAGAGGGAGGGGGGGGGGGAGGGAGGGAGACTCAAGAGGGAAGGGATATGGGAACATATGTATATGTATAGCTGATTCACTTTGTTATAAAGCAGAAACTAACACACCATTGTAAAGCAATTATACTCCAATAAAGATGTAAAACAAAAAGTTGAAAACTTCAAAAAAAAATAAGTCTTTCTAAAACTGTAGATGAACACCTGAAATGTTCACAGATTTAAATTCTGCACCCTATATTTTTAGATTTTGTTTCTTTTTTTCTTTTTTTTTTCAACATCTTTACTGGAGTATAATTGCTTTACAATGTTGTGTTAGTTTCTGCTGTATAACAAAGTGAATCAGCTATAT